AGCAAGGAAGGCTTTTAAGAACACAAAAGATAAATGGGCATAAAGTTATTGTAACTGATATGGTATCATTGAGAGTCAAATATACTTCCTTGAAACCTTTGTCTAGCCTGACGAAACTGTCCGTGCCTGTTTTTGTATGCTTGAAAATAATAAAAGGAGCCATCTTATTCATACTCAGTATTCATTGTGTTTTTGGGGTGTTTCCTGTAGTTTGTTGAGATCCTCATTCCTAATATACCGAATTGCTGTTTCCTTGGAAAGAATACAGACTAAAGCCATTTTTTTTTCAAGACAGCATCAAGTATTGCAGTGATGACACATTTTTGTCTCATCCCATATTTACTTGCAATAATAGGCACTGATGGTCTAAATGGGTGATCACAGTTGCCGTTTCCATACGGTCTTTTGTTGTTGTTGCTTTATTTCGTTTTTAATACTTTGGCAAGTGCAAAGATAACCATGGAGTTAAATGATGTCTTAAAAATATAGATTTTGTCCTGCTAAATGTAGAGAAAAGGCATTTTTACAGTAACTTAAATGATTAAGCAACTGCCACAACTTCAGAATGTTTGATAAGTGTTTAAGCATTTATCAAAAGTACATGTTAGAGAATGCAGTTTTCTAAATTACAGGTATGTATGTCATCCAGCTTCTAGTTTAGAGACAGTTACTCTAATGTGTTATTGTCTCTTTTAAACCAGTTAAGCCCTGAGCCTGTTTTTCAGGCCTCAGGCTCGAAAATGACATTCCCAGAACAAATGACCATAACTTCATTTCTAAAAGGGGTAAATTAATAATCTTTTTTCTCAAAGCAATGATACACCTGTGAGTTGGATGTAGAAAAGTCAGAATCAATATAGAATTTTTTTATTTTAAAGGGGACCTATCATGCAAAATGCACTTTTGTACGTCTTTTATACATGAATATGTGTCCCCGGTGTTCCAGGGAACTCACCAAGTGTCAGAAAACACAACCCTCTCTATTTTCCTCCATACCCAAATCTCTAAAAAAAGGGGCTGCAACGGATCTGATACAGACTGATCCAGATTTGAACACTTCTATGTCGTCACAGAAGTGGCGCTACGGCTATTGGGCCAACTCTCCACCTATCAGGGGAATGTGGGGTTGGGCCACGGCCGGCCATCAGTTTCAGTTTGTTTCGCTGGTCAAGATGTCCGTTAAAGTTTAAATCTTCCGGACAAAATTAGAAAAGTGCCGGTCAAAGGTCTTCTTTGTTATTTATTGAGCTTTAAAACAAATTAATAACGACTCTATATAATAATAGGCTATAATAAAACACGGAGGACGGAGATCTATTTTTCTCCCCCTCTTCTGACTTGATCAGAGCGGCTCCCCTCTCCTGCAGGGGGGCGTGGTCAGCTGCAGCTCACAGAATGAGCCCCCTGCAAAAACAGGGCTGGAGAACAGCAAATAGAGCGAAATGAGGCATGGCTAAAATGCATGATCTGTTTGGTATTTTGAAAACAGAAACGTATAAATATACCTTATATAGGTATGGCCATATATCATTTAAATATAGCATGATAGGTCCACTTTAAAGTAAATTCAGATTAAACATAGTAAAAAAAAATGTAAATTATAGTGTCCAAAAGAAAAACATTACTTATAGTGAAAACCACCCTTGAATGATGGGATAGTAGACTAAAAGCTTTAGGAATCCAAACTATAACATATAATAAGTACTAGGGCTGTGCAATTAATCGTATTTTAATCGCAATTACGATTTTGGCCTGCCACAATTACGAAAACAACATAATCGAAAAAAACAATTATTTTGCTTTGCTTGGTTGTGACAGTGCACTACAACATATTTGATCTAATTTATTTTAGTCTAATTTATTTGTATTTATCATATTTACATATGTTTAGTAGCTTGTTGAAGTGCGCTCCAAAATATTTGTTGATCTTGTTTATTGGTATTTATTATTTTTGATATTATTTATTTAAATGTAAATATAAATGTATCTTTTTTTTTTTTTTCAGTTGAATTATACGTTCAGGGTAATCAACAGTTAAAAAGATACTGTTCAAATTATTATTTGTATTTGTTTTAAAGTTCAATAAATGGATGTTTTCAAAGTCAATGAATAATCGTATTTAATAATCGTGATATCAATTATTGACCAAAATAATCGTGATTATGATTTTTGCCATAATCGCACAGCCCTAATAAGTACCCTGTATCAAGATTGATGCAAAACAAGTGACATTTTTAGAGAGGTTTAGCAAAAGAAAAACCACCTTTGGGGTCATTTGGGTGGATTTGCCGGTTCTCTGGAACCCATTGGTCGATTTTGGTGATTGACATCTCTTTTGAACCGTTAGAGCCAATAGAATTGAAGGGGAAGTTCCACATACACACACACGTTACCATTGAGGAGTGAGTGTGATGCGCACGCAGTCGAAAGGTTACGCTCTGAAAACTGAAACCTAGGCTCAAACTAGTAAATATGAAGATGGATTATCGGTAATCATTTCAAAGTGACACAGACACATTGGATTAACCTTCAGCAGCGTTTTTATCGTTTTGATGCCATTGAACACAACTTTTGATCAGAACAACAGCTAAGGTAAGAATATCTCTGTGTTTCCTCTGTGAAGCTACGTGTTGTGATGTCTGTGTTTGCTTCCCCTGTCGCGAGTTCTGATCGCCCAGTGATGATACTTATGTCTGGAATCTGTGGAATCTCAGCTTGCCAATCGATATCTTATTTGTGCAGATCTGATAAGTAATAAGGGTATTTTACCTTGAGTTCTGTGCTGACTGCGTTAGCATTTTTTCGCTCAGGGCTAATTCAGAGCCTTTGTTATTACCCTTATGTTTCGTTTTGCTAAAAATGGTTAATATTGTCTGATACTGTAGCCGAGTTTCTTCCCGTTAAGTGGTTATGACACATTCATAGTTTATTAAATGTTAAGAAGCCCTCAAACGCTGTTTCTTGCAAGATGTTGCGTCATGCCCCCGGGGGCATGGGGCTTACAGCTTCACACAAAAATCTAAATCATTCCAACACAGGGGCTTTAGTGGCTAACTGTATTGTATATGGTCTGCTTGCGTTGAGCTACATGTAGCATTGATTTGTTGATCGGGTAACACACTGAGAAACCTGGATGAGCGCTTTTGGTGGGTCTGTTCCATTAGGCGAACAGAAAGATGCTGCTGTAGCTCTACTAGTGTAGGCTGACTAGATAATAAAACAAACCCCGCTCCTCTCAGCACAAGAAAGAAAGAACTACACTGCTATTGTTTGACACAATGACAACATATTATGTAATACAGTACAGTGGCATATTTGAGGTCAACTACATTACCACAGGCTAAAGAAACACCAAGTATTTTTTAAAAGACGAGAGTAGAATTTGACTTAATACAATCTGTAATGCCATTCAAATTAAATTAACATAATTTATGTTAGTTTTTACAGAATGAATACTACTATTTACACAATGACTTTTACACCAATGGGGTAAAATCTAATAAGAAAGTGTCCATAAATGTAGTTTTGATGAGTTTTTCCTCCACTACACCCCTGGTACAATATCATTTAGGCAGGAAATATTGATTTTAGATTAGGTCTTGCCTATTAATTTGTAACCAGCCATCAGCATCAGATACTGGAACAGATGTACAAGAAAAAAACCCTAGTACATTTTAAGCAAATATGACCAATTAATTCAAAACACAATGTGCACCAAAAATCAGAGAGAACATGTGGAAATTACCATAGCGGAGTATTGAACTATGAATTGGAAACTCATCAGAAAGTCAATTGAAATCGCTGTAAATGTAAACATACTGTGGTTGAGACCAAATTGACATTGTACGGTGATTATTATATAATGGACAGAAATAGCATCTAGTAGCGTCAGAATTTGTATAAATTCTGTATTGATTACGAATGATAACCTGTTCATTCCAAAGTAAGGTATTACAAGAGCTAGTTTGGGGGATAGACAAAACCATCCCAAAGCATTAAACAAAGTGTAAAGCTATCAGGTCAATCTTCAGATGTTCCTGCTACTATATTAATCACTTGCAAAGGTCCTTCAGATTGAGGGGTATCAAAGTATAAAGTGGCTTTCCCCAATCACCAACAAATCTTCTTCTATAAAGTGAAGTAAAATGACCATTTATGCTTCTTTTTTTTCTAACAGCTTTTCCCCATTTATTGTTGTCCTTGTATTCATATTTTAGTTTTGTATTTGTTTCACTCTCAGTGTCATAACCATTGCTCAGGGTTTATTGAGCCTCAAATAAGCCCAGTGGGTTTCCTGCCTCTTTCTGCAATGCATATAGCCTAGTTTGTTTTGATTGTTATTCTTTAATTGTGAAAATCAATTTAAGAAAATGTTAGATAGCAGTGTCAGAGTAGTACTAGTACATATTCTGTATTGATTGCAACTGAAACCTGTATAGCCTACTCAGTGGTTTTGTATTAAAATTGCTGATTTGGGAGAGAGAAACCACCGTAAAGTCAATTAAAGTGACTGTAAATTTAAATTGGAGTTGGATGCCTGTTGTTATTTATTATTGACATGTGTACATTTTATTGACAACGTGTACATTTTATAAACTGCACGTAGAGGATGCAAGACATCCAGGAAAACGCTATATTTCATGGAGAAACATCTATAATTCGTTTTTAACCAACGCCAAAAATATAGAATTCGACGTTTACCAAAGTTGCATTGACTTCTAGTCAATCATCATACCACTGACAAAAAGTCAAGCCAATTCAGCCGTGAATTAACCCGTTTTTTCTCCCAGACAGACGCTGCCTTTATAAAACTAACATCGGTTTCAAACTGTTGCCTGCTAGCTCAAACAATATTAAAGCTAGTTAAATGTCATGTTTTTAACGTAAAAGATGTAAGTTAGCGAACGTTCAGTCGGGCTAAAAGAGAAACGTCCATAAACTACATAATGTAAAAATAAAAGAGCAAACAAAGCTAGGAAGGTAAACAGAGAAACACTCACCACACCATCCCGTAGGCTCCCTCTCCGATGTAGGAGAGGTTGCTGTACCGAGGCCCGACGTCGAAGGCCTGTCCGCGGACTAGCTCCGTCCCCGACCCGGGGCTGGGGCCAGCAGGGGCAGACACCGCAGCTGTCGCCATTATGAGCCTTCTTGTTTCTGAACAAGGCTATCAAATACAAAAAACTGGAACTAAGACTAGAAAACAGTTATATGAGTGTTATATCCTTCGTCGCTGTGAACACGTTAGAGGCCTTCACTTTGAGTGTTTTCTTCTTCCCGTCAGAGTGCGTTCAGAGCGGCCACACCACTGCTGTGCAGGAGCGAGTAGCGGAGAAGTGGCTGCTGCTGCAGGAAATAACGGAGGCGGTCATGTGATCCGCTGTTTTCTTTTTTTATTTCCCTCTTTACTTTTTGGATGGCCAGTGAAGCCTCCAGGTACTGCTTCCACTCAGCAGGACAAGCTATTCAGTAAGGTTGATCTTGATGTAAACGCACTATCCAGTTCCTTCATCCTACTTAAAGGTGAACTTTAGGAGTCTATTTTGATGGTTGATATTTCTATGATCCAAAATATTAGTAAGCCTGGGCTACACATGAACAACTCTTCACCTATACAAAATCCAGAGATTATGTTTTTGATTAACATTAGGATATTGCTACCAAATTACATGGCATGAAAATAAAAACTAACCATTCTTATTGGACCTAAAACAGTAAAGGGCTATGTAAAGATCAGGGGATCTAGATGGGGCAAACAAAACAAAATTCCAAAAAGGAGATTGATCAATGCAGGTCCCTAAAAATGTATAATAGGGCGCATAACACAGAGAAAAAACTGTTACTGCACTGAAATGTAAAATACCTGCTTTTAATACTAGCCTACTTCATAGTATGTTAGTAGTATTAGCAAAAAGTACTTTAAGTATCAACAGTATTAATGTACAGTTAAATGCTTACTTTTCAAAGGTTCAAAGGTTATGATGTCATATACACAGCTACATGTACACTGTACAGTGTAAGGAAAAAACTTGGGTCAACAGCTTCCTCAGACAATCCAACATAAATATATAAAAGACATAAAACACATTTAAAATAAACCAATACAAGTGCAAGCTTAGGAATTAAGCAGTATTATGGCCTGTGGGACAAAACTGTCCCTGAGTCTGGTGGTCTTTGTCCTGATGCTGTGGTACCGCTTGTCAGACGGCAGCCGCTGGGTGTAGAGGTCCTCCATGGATGGCAGCTCCGTCCTGGTGATGTGCTGTGCAGTTTTCACCAGCCTCTGTAGTAGGGCTGTGCAATTATGGCATAAATCATAATCACGATTATTTTGGTCAATAATTGATATCACGATTATTAAATACGATTATTCATTGACTTTGAAAAAATCCATTTATTGAACTTTAAAACAAATACAAATAATAATTTGAACAGTATCTTTTTAACTGTTGATTACCCTGAACGTATAATTCAACTGAAAAACCAATACAAAAATAAATAAAATAAATGATACATTTACATATATATATATATATACATATACATAATATCAAAATAATAAATACCAATAAACAAGATCAACAAATATTTTGGAGCGCACTTCCCCAAGCTACTAAACATATATAAATATGATAAATACAAATAAATGAGACCAAAATTAATTAGATCAAATATGTTGTAGTGCACTGTCACAACATAGCAAAGCTAAATAATTGTTTTTTTTCGATTATGTTGTTTTCGTAATTGTGGCAGGCCAAAATCGTAATTGCGATTAAAATACGATTAATTGCACAGCCCTACTCTGTAGAGTCTTATGGTTGAGGGTGGTGCAACTGCTGTACCAGGCCGTGATGCAGCCGGTCAGGATCCTCTCTATGGTGCACCTGTAGAAGGTCAGGATCCTCTCTATGGTGCACCTGTAGAAGGTCAGGATCCTCTCTATGGTGCACCTGTAGAAGGTCAGGATACTCTCTATGGTGGTCAGGATCCTCTCTATGGTGCACCTGTAGAAGGTCAGGATGCTCTCTATGGTGCACCTGTAGAAGTTGCAGAGTATCCTGGAGTCCATGTTGAACCTCCTCAGCCTGCGGAGGAAGAAGAGCCGCTGTCGAACTCTTTTGGTGATGGTGTTAGTGTGATGAGTCCATGTCAGGTCCTCAGTGATGTGGACACCGAGGAACCTGAAGCTGCTGACTCTCTCCACCGTAGTCCCATTGATGGCGATGGTGGCGTGTCCATCTCTCTTAACTCTCTGAGTTAACTCCACAGTTAGTATTTACTTTTTACATATAAAAAATATATGATAGGATCAACTACTGTATACAAATGTCCCCAATATCTTCTGAAGTCTCTAAAAAAGCTCCACACTGAGAAACTACAACACCAAAATGATATGACACGTATTTGTTGGCAATACAAATATAATATAATATTCTAGAATAATAAAATATTCGAATATAGGCCATTGTGCTTAACTAGTAATTGTACTTTCGCTACTTAACAGTAGTACATTAAGCTGATTTAATTTATTTATTTACTTTATATTACTCTGCAATGGGCCAGAGAGCAGAATGAGAACCTTTTCTTATTGTACTTTAAGTACATTTTAATTTAAATACTTTTGTACTTTTACATAATTACATTTTGAATTCAGGACTTTTACTTGTAATGTAGTTTTTAGGATATGATTTAAGTGACACTGAGATGTATATAAATAGAAAAAGGTATACAACATTGTGCAGAGAAATCAGGCAACTCTTTTTTTTTTTATGAATTGATACTGTATTGTTTTGTTTTCCAAATATTCTTGTGTATTGTTTGGATGGAAGTTAAAATGTCAGTCCAGTTATACAGTATGTGTAGTCCTACACAGTGTGAGACATGTTATTGTGTTTTTTTAGTGCTTGGAGATGTGCTCCATTGTATCTTTTGACATTGTTTACCTTTATCCCTTTCTTTTGTAAGAAAGTTACTTATTTTCTCTTGAGTTTGTTTTGTAAATTGGGTGAGCCCTCTTTGTTTTAATTCAATTTCATTAATACATTATCTATTGGTTTGCAAATCAGTTTCCTCTTTTTCATTTCCTCCCGGTTATTTTATCTGTTACTTCCCTTTTACTCCTAGATTATAAAGGAACGTAACAAATATGACCTCCATTGTGTTGAGTGACTCCTCTCATACTGGCTCTAAATTAGATGCCAAGCTGCGGTTAGCTCGTCTCCAGTTGGAGCAGGAGGAGCGAGGATTTTCAGGTCCAGGGAGCTGGAAATTCAAAAGTTGGAGGCAGACACATGCTATCCAAATGTGTCAGCTAGAGCTGCAGACAAGTTTAGATGTTACCTCTTCTGGTACACAACCGTTGTGACGTTCTGCTGCTGCTGCTTTGATGTGAGTATTAACATTCTGCTGGTTCCAATCTTTCCCAAGATTGAAGTTGAGTCCTACTTTAGTGTGTTTGAACACATTGCTGTTGCTTTGCTGGCTGGAAGATGTGTGGGCCATACTTTAACAGTGTAAATTAGTCTGGGAGGCTCAGACGGATTGCTCTTCTCTTCCTGTTTAAGATACTCTTGTGTATGACAAGGTTTAAGGTGCTATCCTAAAGGCATATGGGTTAGGGCCTGAGGCCTACGACAGTGTTTCTTTCATGGGCTCTAGAAAGCACCTGGCCAGACCTTTGTCGACTTTGCAATGGAGAAAAGAAACCTTCTGAAGAAAAAGGTGTAAGGAAATTAAAGCGTGTGTGAGCTAGAGGAATTTAAAAACTGTCGGCCCAAACATACTGTTTACTTAAAGGGCCCATGTCATGGCCATTTCCACTGATCATAATTACATTGTTGAGGTATACTAAAATAGATTTATACTGTGCAATTTTCCAAACTCACATTGGTTTCGCATACAGCATCTCTGTAAAGTATGTGTATTCAGCAGTATTCACTCTCTCCACTAAACGACTCGTTGGAGCTCTTGCCCCCCCCTCCCTGTGAGCCTAGTGTGCTCCGATTGGTCAGCTCGGCCACTCTGTTCTGATTAGTCAACCACCAGAGAGGCTCCGCCCATGTCTAACAGTGCTTTTTTCGGCTCGCTCTCAGAACATCAGTCTTATAATGGCGTCGGTACAGCCGTATATTTTATACGCTAACTAACTGAACTGTACCTACAACTGTTGTTATAGAAGAGTGTGACGGCCCCAGGGCCTTTGTGCAGGTGTGTTGCAGGTCTTACGATGGGGTGGAGCTGAAGAGGCTAATCAGCGCGATCACGGACACCTGGCCGGAGCCGAGGTGCTATTAAGCCCAGCTGCCCGGAGTCACACGGCGGCCCCTGCCTCTCTCCAAAGCGGCTGCAGAAGGACGAACTCGGCGATCCTCTCCCCTCGACCACCTATCTCTGCATTTACCACAATAAATGTGCCGTGGTTTTGTAAACTCGTGTATGTCTCCTTATCTTTCCGTTATGGCCTACGAGCCGGTCATAACAAAGAGTAAGTTATGTTTACCTGTAATAAACTACTACTGTTTGATGAGAAATCAAATCATGGTTTGCTATATATGAATGATATGTTATAGGAGCAAATAATTCAGGGAAGAAAGGATAGGCCTACTAAGTATTTCCATTAAACTTTATTTTTAGAAATGTACAAAATGAACATAAATATACATATATACACGGTATATCATCAATTCCTCCCCGTTGTCGGCATCTTGCCTTTCGCAGCTGGGGCTTTTTAGGACGATGCATCAGTGTGGTAGTCCCGTCATGTATTGTCCGGCAGGATCTGGCTGGACGAAATCAAATGCAAATCACAAAATATTAGAGAAACTTAGTTTAGTTTAGATTCGTTAGTAGTAGTTGTGGTAGGAGTGTGGAGTAAGCTTGCCAGCTAATATGCTAACCTAGCTTTGTTTACTTTGGTAGCTAACAGGATATGAACGCTAGCTCGGAGGAACGGCAACTATAATGGAGTGTAATAAAACTACTATGAACAAAAGCTAGTGGTTCATATTAGGCTAGCAATAACGTGTTTATAATTGCAATCTTATACGGGTAGTCTGCTACGTTCGGTCATACAATGTTTCTATATAATCAACACAGGAAGCTTGCCAGCTAATATGCTAACCTAGCTTTCTTGTTTACCTTGATAGCAAACACGATATGAACGTTAGCTCGGAGGAACGGCAACTATAATGGAGTGTAATAAAACTACTATGAACAAAAGCTAGTGGTTCATATTAGGCTAGCAATAACGTGTTTATAATTGCAATCTTATACGGGTAGTCTGCTATGTTCGGTCATACAATGTTTCCCGCTAGCATGTATAGCTAGCCTCG